TTCATGAATTTTGTGTTTTTGTGACTACTACGGAAGTCCACCTTTTTGTACTGCCCCCCTTACACAATGCCTCAATGGAGGCCTGTAAGGTATTTTTAAATAAATAAATAAATAATAAATAAATAAATTCTGTCGCTGAAAAGCCTACGTGACATTTATACGATTTCTTTCGCTGTTCATCTGTTGTTTTTGTTTTTTTTTGTCGTTATCACGATGTTTTTTTTTCTTCTCTTGGATTTTTGAAATGGTTACACAATACCCTTGTTCATTCTTTCTTACGGTGTTTGTTTACTGTTTTTGCTTTTCTATTCGTGCATTATGTATATGGCATGCTTTCAACCGCAGTAACCGCTCTGTGTGAGAGGTGGCCAGGTTGCCCTCAAGCTGCTGAATGCAGCTTTTTAAATGCGAAGTATTTCTTAGCGAACGTTGGCGACTTTGAGCGTATCTATCTATCTATCTATCTATCTATCTATCTATCTATCTATCTATCTATCTATCTATCTATCTATCTATCTATCTATCTATCTATCTATCTATCTATCTATCTATCTATCTATCTATCTATCTATCTATCTATCTATCTATCTATCTATCTATCTATCTATCTATCTATCTATCTATCTATCTATCTATCTATCTATCTATCTATCTATCTATCTATCTATCATCTATCTATCTATCTATCTATCTATCTATCTATCTATCTATCTATCTATCTATCTATCTATCTATCTATCTATCTATCTATCTATCTATCTATCTATCTATCTATCTATCTATCTATCTGTCTATCTATCTGTCTGTCTGTCTGTCTGTCTGTCTGTCTGTCTGTCTGTCTGTCTGTCTGTCTGTCTGTCTGTCTGTCTGTCGCTTACGTTTGGGTGCTCTCGTGGTCACCTCTTAAACTTGGCGTGAACCAGAATTAGCATGAGAGGTAGGTAAGATGGTTTGACGAATATGACGCGCTGGTCAAGACATGAATAATGTTACAATCCCGTCGCGTTCATCGTCAAACACTTCCCGCCAGACCCTAGCACGTATACCCACGGACGGGTACGTGCTGCTGTTATGCGGGTATGTGCCACATGTGATTGACACTTAGTATCTTCCCAGGAACTATGAGTACACATATGGGCAACTTTAACGCGTGAGCGTAAAGCGATACCCGACATCGATAGCGTTGACCCAAGGAAGACATAGAACAAATGTCAGTGTTAAGAAAAACCTGACATAGGCAGCATTGACCACCCGACGAATGGAAACAATAAATTACAGGGTCCCAGCAGGAATCAAGCCCAAGCATTCTGCGTGGCAGTCAGACATTCCACCACAGAGCTACGCCAAGTCTCGGAACTACTTTTCAAATAGACGATAATCTTCGTGAAACGTCCATAGTGGTTGCAGTGCTGCCTACTAAATTTTATAAACATTGCATATGTACTCCTTTGATACAGCCGTCACGTCGCGTTAACGTCAATTGTGGTTAGGTGTCATGCGCTGTAGTTAATTTATGTAGCAGTGTCCAGAGCCAGCATCTTCGCGAGCATCAGTGCTTCATATTAGCTTCTGGTGTTGTTAATACGCATGTTCGAGTTGACACCGTTGCACAAGTGCAAATTATACCGGTTATGTAAACATCTGCAACTCTTCACAAGATAGTATAACGAGCAAAACAAAATCTAAAGCCAGCAGTTCACCTGAGCCAGAGCAACAAAAATGTTCTCTTCTTCTTCTCAGCCCAAAAGAAGTATGAGCTACAACGTCTTGTTCATCAATGGTGGCATGCGTCATTACCCCTTCTCCAAAAAAAGCATCGCCTCGATGCTGTACATGAAGGCTAAAAAAAAAGTCCTCTGGGGCAGCGATGAAGTCGCCGAGACGATTTTCATCGCTGCCCCAGCGGTATTATACCGCAGGGTCTCCAAGTCCCCACCGAGATAAATAACTGGAGCGACTTCTGGGGGCGGGGTCACTGAACATCGAAGTGCTGAAGACCTCTAACCGACTCAGAGACGTAATGACACTGAACAATACGACCAGCTTTCACTTGATATAGCATAGACGATTGATGGTTACGTGGTTGACGCGTTAGTAGACACCGGCACTGACTACTCAGTATTGAGTGGGAAAACGGTCTCGCAGCTAAAGAAAGTAATCACGCCGTGATATAACGCGCAGATTCGGACGGCTGGCGGCCATGTTGTTACTCCGCTGAGCGCCTGTGCTACTAGAGTTCACATCCAAGGATATACGTTCATCGCTAGCTGCCTTGTCCGGCGCGAGTGTTCCCGTTACGTTACTCTTGGAGTTGACTTCCTGCAAGTGCATGACGCTAGAACTGACCAGCGATAGCGTCGTGTCACGTTTTCAGCCGACCGAGCGATCGAAGTAGAGGACGATGAACGACGTCTCGATGTGCTTCGTGTTTCTGCAGACAGCGTCACGCTTCCTCCTCGAGCAAGCGTCATGGTCGACGTCACATGCTGCAATTTCGGCGATGGCATAGCGGCGCCCGAAACGAACTTAGAGCACCTACTGAAACAAGACACTTGTGTAGCCAAAAGTCTTATACAGCTTCGTGGTGGCTGATCGCAGTTGCTTGTTACCAACTTTAGCAACGAGTACTGACACCTCTTTCGCGGCACTTTGATCGCTTTTGCCAACGAAATAGAAGAAATTAGCAACTGTTTCGCGTCGGAGGCCGCCTAAGCAAGACGCAATATGCGGTCATATCTACATCAATCCTGCGCTGTCGACCAATAACCAGACTACACTGCGCATACTCTTGTTTGAATTACAGTCCTGTTTCGCAAGTTCCTCAAAGGTGCGCCAGACATCCATCACACAGCACAGGATAATCACGTATGACGGCTCACGTCCGATCAACCAGGATCCTTACCGCGTGTAGATATAAGAAAGCGAAGCGATATGTACGCAAGTCCGGGAGATGCTTGAAGATGATGTCATCGAATCATCCAACAGCCCATGGTTGTCTCTGGCTGTCCTGCTGAAAAAGAAAGACGGACACTACGCTTTTGCGTCGACTACTGGAAGCTTAACAACGTGACCAAAAAGGAGGTGTACCACGCACCTCCACCAGTTTGTCACGAAATTTCAAAAGTGCAATGGTCTTTTAATTAGCTACGATGTAGCCAGCTCTTGAAAAGCGCGTCCGTCGCAGCTGTATCTCGAGCGAAGACGCACGCGATCTTTTTTTTTCAGGGTGAAAGCCACTCTTGCTCCCAACCTATGGAACATGCTCCCAACATGCAGGTGGCAATATCACGCGCGGGAGTGAAAACGCGCTGCAGGGCCTCTAGCGGGCGTTCTAAATACTATGTCACGCCGACGGGGGGACAGGGCTTGATCTTAAGGAGCTTCTCCCTTGAAACTTGAGGGTTTCACCCCTGTAAGGTTTGCATTGTAAGGGGTTTGCGTTTAGGTTTGCGTTGTAAGGTTTGCGTTGTAAGGGGTTTGCGTCTCGTGGTGCACTTTTTTCGCGCATAGGCCGCATTCAGGCGTCACAACTATCGAGCGGTAGGTGGCGTTGTGCTCGCAAGTGTTTATTTCCACCATCATCACCATTGTTAGAACCGTGGTGCAGGCGTGGACGCCTGGCGGCAAGCCTGGGTGATGGCGGCAAGCCTGGGTGAGGGATAAGCGGCTCTCTTTGACGGGTGGCGTTTGGCGCGAATGGTTGTCTCTAGCGGTGGGTCTGTGGTGGACGGCACCGTGGGTCTTCGGCCGGGGGCCCTCGGGGTAAGACAAGCGCTGGCGAAGCCGCCATGTGTGTGTTCGTGTGTTTGTTATATTGTTGAGTATTGCGCAATACTGTGTAAGGTTGTTTAGAGTGTTGATCCCAATTGATGTATATTATTTCGGCTGGAGATATCGTGGTTCTAAAAGTAGCTAAATGTGTGTTGTTTGGTTCGTTCCGATCGTGTCAATGTATCCGTTCACTCCAAGAGCGTGGCGCTCTACACCTCGAGACCCCACAAACTCTGTGGGTACCCGCAATCGTATCAGTTGTAACATCTTCCATAACGCTGTACGTTTTCACATGTTCGTCAATAAAGTGGGCTTTCTTGCAGGTCATGAGCTTGAATGAAATTTTGTAAACAGTGCATGTGTGCGTGTGTGTCAGTGTGTATATCATAATCATCACCCACTTCCTAGAGCAGTATGTCAGACGAATAGCCAGGCTAACATATACAGCTTTTCATTCGAACATTTATTTCTCTCTCTCTCACTAAGTTCTTCGTGTTTATCGCAATGTGGGGGCTGCTGCAGCTAGAATTGAAGCTGCAACCTTTGATTAGTAGCCGAGCACTGTAAGTATACTGTACCACTGTGGCGGACTCCCTTGTGGTCTTGCTTCGACCGTCTGTTCTTCTTGTTCTTTCTTGTTATCATTGCGATAAAAGTTATATGAACACTCTCGGATGGATTTTGCCTCCGGGAATGATCGTGTTTTTAGCATTACCAGCAAGAAGGTGCAATGAGCGCGCGTCACCACATCGCGCAGTAGCGCGTGCTCTCATCCTCCACACGTACTTTGCCCCAACTAGAGTAAGGGGCGGCGCTCCCTCGCGTGCCCTTATCCCGCTGCGGGAAGAATCGTACGTCTTGGCTGGCCTCGAGATTTACCTGGAATGATTATGTTGTACTTACCGGGCGCACAAAGGTCACTGCAATCATTGCAGTCTCTGTTTGCGGAAAGCGCGCGCTTTTCAGACACAGCGAAGTAACAACTGAGACGCTTATTCGCGTGCATCTGTACCTGTGGGTACGTTTCGTGCGTCATTTGTGCGTGAGAAGCGCGCGGCACGTTTCGATCTGCTTTCCATTCTGCACGTGACCTTCCGATTTCTTGCTATCGCGTTCATTGCTACGCATTTGCGGCAAAGCTGTGACTTTCTTCTGAGCTGCATTCTTTTTATACGCCTGAATCAGTACAAATGCTGCAGTTTGAATGAGTAAATTTGGAGGCAACAATGTTCAAACGTAAATACAAAAACATTTATTGGTATGACAAGAGCGTTGTATACAAATGAAGCTCGTTGCGCCACAGGCAATTGTTATGGCGATGTTTCATTTATCATTTGGGAATAACATTGTTACTATTTTATGGGAAAAGTATATATGCAAGGGATGTTGTAATCTAGAAACCTGAGAAACAGATGTTTCATTGAAGAAGCGTGGACTATAAGAAAACAGCGTGGCGTAACTGCACAAGGTAGAAAAAGCTTTACGAATGGAAATAATTATCTATAGTAGTAGCACGGCGAGAGAGTGAACCTATGCGAATTCGTTTTTCTTTACTTTTGCGCTGCTCTTTATTGCTAATTTATTATTTTCGCAAGTTCTGATAGGTATTCAGAAAGGTTTAAATGGAGGTAGCTTTAGATGGGACGCTGTGAAGAACACCTAACACCGTCAAGCGAGGTGTATAGCTCAGCGGTGGCAGAAAAGGATTGGGTTAGTTTCTTTAAAGTTTTATGAACAACTCGAGTCTAACAGTAACGCGTCAGCATGACACAGTTTTACACATCACAAACGCACACATAAAAGTAATGCTTCAATGGATAGTGAGCATAATGAAAAAAAAAGACAACTATGCACGTGGACATGAGCAAAATGTGCACACATTCTCTAACAGGATAAATTATGATTATGGTTCTACGAAACAAAATACATGAATAACAACAGACTGCGGTCGCAGGGAGGGAAACAAGACACGGCGCATTCCTTAGTCACGTATCTGGGCAAAGTAATGGCAAAGCCATCACACTCACGGTCTAACCTGCACCACTGCCAACAAAAATTATGATGCGGCTACGGGACAGACTCTCGAAAGAACGCATTGAACGCGGGATATGGCTGCTTCTAGGCAGTTGTATGTGGCACGAACGGCACAATGTATATATGGCGAAATAAATCAGCACGAGATGGAAGACAGCTTTTTTTTTTCACTTTTTGGTACTGTTGTACTGGGCTTTGCGTCCTGTTATTCGTGCTGATTTATTTTGCAAATGCGCACCAACTTCTCCAGACCAAAGCACTACTAAGCCGATATACATAATTCTGAATTATAACAAATTTGTGTGCTCAACTTGTGACTTCTACACTTTTAGGTAGAAGTTCCGCATGGGAAATACTTTGTGTGGTGTCATGGTATTCATGCCTTCGACATTCTACAACGAATTTTCAGTAATGAACGTAACTCTTGTTGTTTGAATTGTCCATGACTTGTTCGAGTGAGTGTTAGTGCCATGCGGGCTAACGCAGTGGGACCAAAGTTTCGGAGATTGACTGTCGCTTAGTGAAGGAGTTCACACATTGGCGACTAATTTAAGTTATGCTAAGTTTACGCGTGCTTACTGCTACTTTATCAGCTAGCATTCTTTTTGCCATAATGAAGTGTATTGTCTGATTCTGTCTGGCATCGCCACGAATACTAAGGCTTACCTGCTCTTTACTTGCGCGTGTCTATGGAATGCGGTGGAGAGTGCTTGCTGGGAGTCGCAATCGTGTTTGTTTATAGTACATCGCACACGCTTCTACTCATATCTAAAAATACGAAGCACATGCCTCGCTCAAGTTTGATCGTATGTAGCCCGACACACAGCGTATTGTCGATGCTCGGTTTCTCACGTGCTCGCAATGGTTCTGTCATTTCTCCTTTTCAGTGCGACAGACAGGCTGGCATTATCAGAATACAAGCCACCATTTGTCAGGCAGCGATGTGATGGTAATTGTTTTTCTGAAAAGAAATTTGTTCTCAATCGGTTTATAGGGTTACCCTTGCATTGCACTTAGCTTTCTGTTGATGTATAACCCGGCATCTGCCATCGCCGTGCATGTTCGGTCAAGGCGTACTTTGGCTTTGACGATGTCTGCCTGGGTGTCATTGTTAGCGATAAAAAAATGTGTGTGTGTGTGTGTGTGTGTGTGTGTGCGTGCGTGCGTGCCTGTGTGTGTGTTTTCATGAAGGAGGGGGAGTTCTCAAATTGGCACTCTAAAGCAAGGGGGTGAGGCTGCTTTGACATTTTGGTTAGGTCTAATAAAATTGTAATGCCCAGTTCCTCTGACATTTAGGATGCATAGTCAACAACACACGGCTGTCCCAATTTGTGAGGGGAATTGTCGAATCATTTGCTAGTTTTTGTCCCTCTGGTTCTCGGTGAGAGAAAAATCTAGCCTGCCTCGAGTTCAGTGCCTCATCACCCACGACCTCGGGAGTGGCGCGCATGAGACGAGGCCACTAGACTGCAGCGCTGGTGACGTTGTAGTCTTCATCGCTGCCGGAGCCTTCGACAGCACCCGACTGCTGGTTCTGTTCGGCCACTTGGTCCATGATCATCTTGCCGACCTGTTGGCCACCGTAGTTGCCGATCCACGGGTAACGCGCTGGGCACGCAGTGCACGTCTCCATGTAGCGCAGGTCACCGTACGAGTGCTCGTCCGAAAAAGGAAGTGCGCACGTGGTGGGCAGGTTGCAGGCAGGCTCGCGCTTGGGGCAAGCCCACGCCTCGAAATCGCGCAACTCGGCAACGCGTCTTGGCGAGCGCATCCACAGCAGCGCCTGTTGCATGGTGACGAACCAGGCGTTATCGTAGTTGTTAAGTATGTGGTCTACAAATCGGTGCAGCGCCTTTGTCTTGACCTTGTCGGTGAACCAGTTGACGTGAAAGTACAGTCCCAGTGGTGCCCGGTTGGTGCGGTAGTGGCGCAGGAAGTTTTCGAGCAGGAACTCGAACACGGTGTCTTCGTCGTCGGGGAAGACGCACTGGTCGGCGAGCACGCACTGACCGCCGGTGCCATCCTCGCTGTATAGTGTATTCAGCGGCACCTCCCACACTCCCGGGTACGAGTGCGTAGGGCAGCCCTTGTTGACGCAATGGTGCGGGATGCGGTGGTCGAGCGTGTACGGCCAGAGCGGTGTCTTGCTGGGCGGCGCGGCGAACGACGAGTCGTAGGCGAAGGCGAAGTCGTAGATCATGTTGAGCATGGCGTTGCCACCTGGCTTCAAGTAGGGAGCGCGCATGCCGAGCACATTCTCCTTGGAGATGTTTCCGAACCGAGACAAGATCTCGCGCATGCCCACCATCTCTTCGGTCCAGTTCTCGTACTTGGCCTTGGACCACCAGCTCTCTGGACCACGGTGCCTGCACAGTGATTAGCACGTACCAGTTATAACACTCAGCACAACGCGTCTATAGTTTGAACGATCAATGTGGCTGTTAAGTGCTAGAGACATCGAACAAGGCGGATTAGGTCGTTGGATTAATGGGTGCCCTTACGTTCAAGAGTTCTGTCTATGTACCTGTCCATATACGCTCTTACTTTTGTACAGATGTGTCCACTGGTAAAGGGAACACTTGCATGTATTTGTTTGGATTTCGGCGTGCATTTGTCGGTTGGTTTGTTTGGATTTCGCTATCCTGCAAAAACATAGGGGTTTGAATTTGCGTAAGATTACCGCTGATTGGCAGTTTTTACTTCTTTTGACAGACTAGTGCCGTGTATGAACATTGATTACTTATCCACTGGCTGTTAAAGTGCCGGTCATTTCAACAGTGAAAATAACTACACATAACTCTCACCTTTCTCGAGTGCACAACATGTAATACGAATACAGAGGGTTGGTCAGGGCTGGGCAAATATGCTTTGAAATAGCAACGGTATACAATACTCGGGAAACAAGCGTCTGGCTTGTTCTTACTGCCTTAATGAATCTAGAAATCCATCGAGGGGCTGTGCCATAGAGCTACGAAATGACACGTCTGAGTTCAGTGCCCTTTCTTTTCATCACACCGAACGATACTTACTTGCGCGCAAAACGCTCACTGCTAAGCTTACGTTGTGCGCTGCTAGGAAAAGAATGACGCCGCGGGTTTTCCTAAAGCGAATGGACCCCAATAACAATTATTAGTTAACTACTCAATTCTAACCAACAATTCTAGTGAGAAGGAGTAAAATACGGTAACTGCATACAGCACAGATCTGACATTGTGGCGTATACATACTGTCGTGCAATGGTCGAATTCATGAATTGAGAATTACCATTCATAATTTGAGAATACTTGCCGAATGTGATCCACTTCATCCTTATTCTTCTAGTTATTTCACTCTCGTGGTTCGGATCCGCGGTTGGTACCTGTCCTAAGTAGACATATTTCTTTACAACTTGAAGCGTCTCTCCACCTCTCGCAAAGCGCTGTTTTCTGCCAAGACTATTCCACATTACTTTTGTTTTGTGCATATTATTTTCAGACCTACTCTTGTGCTTTCCGTGTCCAGTTCAGTAATCATGAGCTGCAATTCGTCCACTGAGTTACTCATCAAGGCAATGTCATCAGCAAACCGTAGGTTAATAAAATAATCTCCATTAACTCTAATCGCTAACTTTTTCCAATCTTTATAGCCCTGAAAACTTCCTATAAACAGGCGGAGAACAGCATCGAAAAGATCGTGTCTTCCTGCTTTACATCCTTCTTTCTTAGTAGTCTATCGCTTTCCTTATGGAAAACCATGGCGCCACATACAGAGGTACCTAAATCCTGGGAATTTGAGCGGAAATCAACAGACGATGACGTCAAAATAGGTATAGACGACGCTGAATGTGCTTTTTTAGCTTGAGTGTATATATTAGGCTAGGCTAATCAGAAAGTAAATGCTGGAATTTAGCTACATTGTGATTACCATGTGCAGTTAAAGCAATGCGATCGGGATCCCATGTATATCTTGCTTGGCGTCACCATGTGTTGGTTTTCATAAAGGTCGCATGCAATCCTTTAATCATATTCTTTACCGCTTACACTACTGGTTGTTTACACGAGCATATGCGTGGAACACTTCAGTGCTATTCATGTGATTAGAATTAATAGCTATATTAAATTTCGTAAGAAAAACTTGTTATTTGGCGACATTATTGTGATTTTGATTGCGTCATTTTGCAATTTATGTCCCTATTTGTCGCTCCTTGTTCAATTTTTCCTTCGCGAATATTGGGCTAACCTAGTTGGGGTGGGGTCTTTACACGAATTTATATTTGATGGCGAATTTATATTCACTCGACAGTTTTTATGCTGTATTTTAGAACATTACAGTTAGTTTTATTGGAAATGAAAGGATGTTTTCATCATAACCGAGAGAAGTGGCCCTAAGAAATTTTGTTGTAAAATACATCGCCGTTACTAACGTCGCGAAAATGAAAAGCCGCGAAATGCAAGCATGGCGCCGACGCAATGCTATCATTTTTATGGATCATTGAACACAGCGGGTGCCGTTCCGGTCGCGCCTTGCCGCGATTTCTTTGGGTTTGGAAATCTTGCAGCACGTATTGGGTGGTTAACTGGTCTATCAAAGATTGCATGGTGCACCGTTTTAGGGGCGAAGCTCCTTTGGGCGTGGGCTGTGCGTCCCCTGTAGCCTGTATGTAGCCACCTCCAGTTTAGTTCTTGCAGTGTTCACTAGATGGCGGTACCGTCCCATGTATGTAGCCACCTCTAGTTTAGTTCTTGCAGTGTTCACTAGATGGCGGTACCGTCCCCTGTATGTAGCCACCTCTAGTTTAGTTCTTGCAGTGTTCACTAGATGGCGGTACCGTCTCCTGTATGTAGCCACCTCTCGTTTAGTTCTTGTAGTGTTTACTAGATGGTGGTACTTCTAGCTGATGATGAAAAGATGCAAGATGTTATAAACTAGAAAGCGGTACTTGTAGTTGATGAAAGACGCGAGATTTTATAAAATAGGAATGATGTCACATATGGCGCGTGTCATTGGTTGAAGGCAATCGTTCGATTTAGTGCGGCGACGTACGCTAGGGGGAGCGATGTAATAAAATCGAGTGGGCAAAATGTACAGAGGATTCATGGTTTACCAGGTTTACCTCTGGAGCTTCGCCCACTCATCATCATTCACTTCGTGGATATGGCGAAATTTTTTTTTTCATCACATTTTGTCACTGAACTAATTTCGCGAAACTTGCGATTGCCTCATATATCCTGCGTTCGGCCACGGACACTCGACCCGTTGCAACACTTCTCGCATCCCTAATCAGATTGACGAAGGCAACAGCGAACTTGATCTAAGCTCATTGCCCAGGTTTCACGAAAGAACGTTCGCAGCGGTAGATATGATTCCCTGCATCTTTATTTCGATGGTGATCAGAGGCACCAATCGAGTAGTTAACAGGGAAAAATGAAGAGATTATTCATATTCATATATCGACTTGCGCAGTATACTTCCGAGGTAAATGTTTGCAAGTACTAAAGAAAAAGAGGTCACAGTGTAGCCAGATAGTATATAGTATTCTTTCTAAAAGAGAGGTCGTGCAAACACCGACATATGCAGTTAGAAAGAAGTCGACGTTTGCGGTGCCTTGACTTGTGTCCGCGTTTGCGCGTCTTACATGTGTCTTAGAGAATGATTACTTACCGGCTAGATCAGTTCTCGATTAGTTTATTGAGTATTAGTATAATCTTGACCTCTCTACTGTGACACCTCCGGGCAATAAATTTATTGAAAAAAAATAAATAAATAAATGGCTACGTGACCAGACGGCTGTAGCTCACCACAAATAGGAATTGATAACCATTTCGAGCTTGCGTCAACCGTCGCGTGTACGGCGGCTAGGCGTGTGACTCACGTGACGCTCAGCGATCCGATCTCGTGCCCGTCGGCGAACATCCTCTGCGCGTAGAAGTAGCTGGTGTACTCGTGCGAGACGAAGAAGGTGGCGCGTATGGGACAGCCGTTGGGGTTCTTGCGGTGCTCCTTGTTCAGCAGGGCCCGGTAGTGGGGGAAGTTCATGTTGTTCAGGGCCCCGTCGAAGGACATGAGCACCATCTGGGGCACGTCCTTGGGCTCCAGTCCCCCCGGGATGAGCGTCCCGTCCGGGCTGCAGTAGCACTCCGGCAGCACGCACGTCGGGTCGCACTTGGGCGCCGTGTCCGGATCCGGCTTGGGCCGCTCCGTGGTCGCTGTGATCGGTTACGGGAAATGTTTGAAGCCCATTCAGAGGCAGGACAGATGTCACCAAATTTTATTTTTTGAGACTTTGCCGGCGAATAAATACAGAAGGCTCCCCTGCGCAGAGAGTCAAATGCTTTTCAAATACGTTTTCACACTCAAGAAAAGTTATCGAAGAGTTCTGCCTTCCAGTGCCTCACGGACTCCACCTTTCCGCGCAGTCACTGCCTTCGTTCTCCTTGTTTTTACACATGGGCAACATATTCCCACTTCATGTCTATGAATGTACGTGAACCCTCTACCTGCATCCCCGTCTATGGCATAAGCACCCGGGCTGACCTCGCGGACTTCTTACATGCGCAGGATCGTGCTATAGTGCACGCACGTGAAATGCCATGGTAACTTTCGAGCGTCTGTATGCATAAAAATCTTAAATTCCGAAGAACAAATAACACCTTTCTCAATTCTTACGAGCTTTCATGTTGAGCGATGTGATTCGAGCTCAGTCATCATTTAGTTAAACTGAGTTTCAACTGTGTAGCGTCATCTATGAAAATTTATAGTGCTTCAGGAGACCACTCTATGTAAAAGCGTGCACCAGAGAATTGTTAGGCATATAGGGCATAAAACCGTTGGTGAGAAGGTAAGCTTAAGAGTGATGCGCACATTACAACGAGCAAAATGTTAGTAATGACCATGATATACATCATCGTCATGATAACAGTAGTATATGTCAATATACTGACAACGGACATTGCACTAGAAATCTCTACTCACTGACAATGTGTGGTTAGAAGACAGAAAGCATGCCTAAGGTTAGACAAGGCTGGGCACTCACTGCTTTCAACGGGTCCGCAGGTGAGCTCCTTGTTCTTGAAGGTGCAGAACTTCTTGATGTCGTCGAAGTAGAGCGAAGGCGGGCACGTCTGGCTGAAGGGAGTGCCGCCCGAGCAGATGTAGAAGCGACGGCAGGTCTCCGGGTCGGCGAACAGTCCGTCGGGAAACGGGCAGTCGAAGTCCTCGGACGGCGAGGCGCGTCGCACGCGTCCTGCAAATACAGCGCTTAATTGTCTCGATTCTTTGTCCGGAAAGCAGTGGCCAACTGGCCACGTAAACCCGGTTTTATATTTCATACAAAGTGGTTGCGATTGTCAATGTGTCAACTTACTCATTTGCGCAAGTGCGGGTTCTTTCTTTCCTGCATTGAACTACAGATAGCAAGAAACGCTGCCATGTTTGAGCCCATGAAAATTGGCCTCGCCTGTAGTTGAGTGCCGCCTGCGGTGGTCGCATCTCGATGGAAGTGAAATGGTAGAGGCCCGTGCACAGGGCTATGTCAGTTCAGGTTAAAAAAAAAAACAGGTATTCGCAAAATTTGGTGTCCTCCTCCACTTCACGACGTTTCTCATAATCATATTGTAAATTTGGTGCGTAAAACACCAGAGCATTAAAATCGAAAGTTGGGCTAGTTGGATACGCATGGTATAACTGTCTAAACAGAAAAAAAGAACAAGAAAAACGAACGGTTCCTTTCATGGAACGTTGACGTGGGGCCCAAATTGAGATACACCCTCACCTCGACCCATAGTTGTGAATTGCGTTAGCTGAAGTAATAAAGCGGAATGCAACAATAATAGGGTCTGTATATTGTTTGGCACGAAATTTCGGCTATCAACGACAAAGACGTTTTTCCAGATAACTTTATTGCCTATCAAAAAGATAGGCTGAGTGTTGGTGGTGGAGCTTTTTGCTTGTTCCGTCTGATCTGCGGTCATCCAGCCTTGATATCAGTCGTGATGCAGTGGAAGCAGCGTGGTGAAAGGTGAACAGATCTGACCATTTTCGATTGCCACTGGGTTGGTTTATCGCCCAACGAGCTCCGACACGGCGCCATTACATGCTTTAGGCGATGTTATCTCTGAAGAGGTTGCGGCGATGGCGTAGTGGTTAGAGCATCCGCCTCGCATGCAAGAGGTCCGTGGTTCAAATCCCGGTACCGCGCAGTTCCCAACCGGATTAAAAAAAAATCCGCGTGTTGATGGAACTGCATTAAGAGGCCTGGGGTGCGGCCTCACCGGCAAACACCGCCGAGAACGCACTCCCTCACCAGAGAAGGATTGGCCACCCTGGTGCAGTATCTGGCCACTACCTCCCACATGCTTACGTCAAATAACTCATGGCCCTCAGTCCCCAGCAGCTGCGAAGCAACTGACCACGGCGGCGGTCAGATCTGCAACGCAGCAGAGGGTGCTAAGAATCTCTGGATCCGGACAGGCCGCCATTGGAACCTGAACTTGGCAACGTTTAACGCTAGAACCTTATCTAGTGAGGGAAGTCTAGCTGTACTATTCGAGGAGCTAGAGGGTGTTAAATGGGATATAATAGGGCTCAGTGAGGTTAGGAGGACAGATGAGGCCTATACGGTGCTACAGAATGGGCACGTCCTTTGCTACAGGGGCTTGGCAGACAGAAGAGAACTGGGAGTGGGGTTCCTAGTTCACAGAAACATAGCTGGCAACATAGAGGAATACTATAGCATTAATGAAAGGGTGGTAGGTATCGTAATTAAACTGAATAAAAGATACAAAATGAAGGTAGTACAGGCTTACGCGCCCACATCCAGCCATGATGACGCTTCAGTTGAAAGCTTCTATGAAGACGTGGAATCGGCAATGAGTAAGGTAAAACACAGTATACTATAGTGATGGGCGACTTTAATGCAAAGGTAGGGAAGAAGCAGGCTGGAGACCAGGCAGTAGGAGATTATGGCATCGGTACTAGAAACGCCAGAGGAGAGCTACTAGTAGAATTCGCAGAACGCAATAATTTACGGATTTTGAATACCTTCTACCGAAAACGAGAAAACCGCAAGTGGACATGGAGGAGCCCTAATGGCGAAAATACGAACGAAATAGACTTTATAATGAGTGCACACCCTGGAATCGTGCAGGATGTGGAAGTGATTGGCAAGGTACGATGCAGTGACCATAGAATGGTACGGTCTCGAATTCGCCTAGACTTGAAGAAGGAACGACAGAAACTGATACGCAAGAAGCCAATCAATCAGCTTGCACTGAGAGGGAAAGTACAGGAATTCAGAGTGTCGCTGCAGAACAGGTACTCGGCTCTTAGTGAGGAAACCAACCTTAGCGTAGATACAATGAATGATAATCTGACGAGTATCATTACGGAGTGTGCAGTGGAAGTTGGAGGCAGGGTAGTTAGACAGGACATTGGCAAGCTTTCCCAGGAAACGAAGAACCTAATTAAGAAGCGTCAAATCATGAAAGTGTCAAGTACAACAGACAAAATAGAACTGGCAGAGCTTTCGAAGTTGATTAATAGACGTAAGGTATGCGATGTAAGAAGGTATAAAATGGAGAGAATTGAACACGCTCTGAAAAACGGAGGAAGAGTCAAAGCATTGAAGAGGAAACTTGGGATAGGCAAAAGTCAGATGTATGCACTAAGGGACAAAGAAGGCAAAATAACTACCAATATGGATAGGATAGTTAAAATAGCGGAGGAGTTTTACAGAGATCTGTACAGTAGCCGAGACAACCACGACCTTAATACTATAAGAACTAGCAGTAACCCAGATTACACCCCACCAGTAATAATAGAAGAAGTCAGAAAAGCTTTGGAGAGCATGCAAAGGGGCAAAGCTGCTGGTGAGGATCAGGTAACATCAGATCTGCTGAAAGATGGAGGACAGATTGTGTTAGAAAAACTAGCCACCCTGTTTACGATGTGTCTCCTGACGGGAAGAGTACCAGAGTCTTGGAAGAACGCTAACATCATCCTAATACATAAGAAAGGAGATGACAAGGACTTGAAGAATTACAGGCCGATCAGCTTGCTCTCTGTAGTATACAAGCTATTTACAAAGGTAATTGCTAACAGAGTAAAGAAAACATTAGAGTTCAATCAACCAAAGGAACAAGCAGGATTTCGAACAGGCTACTCAACAATTGACCACATTCATACTATCAATCAGGTAATAGAGAAGTGCTCAGAGTATAACCAGCCACTATACATAGCCTTCATAGATTACGAGAAGGCGTTTGATTCAGTAGAAATATCAGCCGTCATGCAAACACTGCGGAATCAGGGCGTAGATGAAGTATATATAAACATTCTGGAAGCAATCTACAGGGGATCAACTGCTACCATAGTGCTTCATAAAGAAAGCAACAGAATACCAATCAAGAAGGGTGTAAGGCAGGGGGACACAATCTCCCCAATGCTATTTACCGCGTGCTTACAGGAGGTTTTCAGAAGCCTAGAATGGGAACAGTTAGGGATAAGAGTCAATGGAGAATACCTTAGTAACCTGCGCTTCGCCGATGACATTGCATTGCTGAGTAACTCAGGGGACGAATTGCAACTCATGATTAAGGAGTTAGACAAGGAGAGCAGAAAGGTGGGTCTTAAAATTAATCTTCAGAAAACGAAAGTGATGTACAACAACCTCGGAAAGGAGCAGCGCTTCGAGATAGGTAATAGTGCACTTGAAGTTGTAAAAGACTATGTCTACTTAGGGCAGGTAATAACTGCAGAGCCGAACCACGAGAGTGAAGTAACTAGAAGAATAAGAATGGGGTGGAGCACATTCGGCAAGCACTCTCAAATTATGACAGGTAGATTGCCACTATCCCTCAAGAGGAAGGTATATAACAGCTGTATCTTGCCGGTACTTAGCTACGGAGCAGAAACCTGGAGACTTACAAAGAGGGTTCAGCTTAAATTGAGGACGACGCAGCGAGCAATGGAAAGAAAAATGGTAGGTGTAACCTTAAGAGACAAGAAGAGAGCAGAGTGGATTAGGGAACAAACGGGGGTTAAGGATATCATAGCTGAAATCAAGAAGAAGAAATGGACATGGGCAGGGCATGTAGCGCGTAGACAGGATAACCGCTGGTCATTAAGGGTAACTGACTGGATTCCCAGAGAAGGGAAGCGGGTTAGGGGGAGACAGAAGGTTAGGTGGGCAGATGAGATTAAGAAGTTTGCGGGTATAAATTGGCAGCAGCAAGCACAGGACCGGGTTAACTGGCGGAACATGGGAGAGGCCTTTGTCCTGCAGTGGACGTAGTCAGGCTGATGATGATGATCTCTGAAGCTTCAGATCAACTCATGTTGTCATCTGGCTTCAATTTGCCTGACCTCGCATTGGGAAATCGAAAAAGGATGTTGGGAATTACAGGCTAATTTCTCTAACCTCAATAGTGTGCAAGGTAATAGAAGACATTCTACTCTCCGCAATCATGAAACACCTAATTGAAAACAATGCATTAACAAGTGTTCAACATGGGTTACGAAAGGTGTTGTCATATACGACATAGCTGCATGGTTGAATTTTATCATGATTTGGTATCTGATATTGATTCGGAGGGACAAGCTGACATATATCTTAAATTTCCGTAAGGCATTCGACAGGGTAACACATTCACTCCTTTGCAACAAACTTAATGTACTAGACATAGATGCGGCTGTCCTTATATGAATAGAAAACTATTTGTGCCAGCCCCAACCATGCGTCATTTATCTATCTCAGAAAGAGATAAATAAAGGAAGAATAAATGTACGTTTTTCTTCTTGCATTGTTAGTCTTTTTGTGAATGCCTTGTCATTGTATTATTGTATTTGCCCCTCCTGCATGGGCCAGCATATTGGCATGCAGTATCAATAAATAAATAAATGTGTGGAAAAAAGAGAAAGGAGAAAAGAAGAAAGGGAGAGACCAATAGAACACAATTAAAGAAGGCTGCCCAGCACCACACTTTTTTAGGTTTAGCATGCCTACTGCAAAGCTGAGTCAACTTTGATTAGCAAAGTTTTTGCCAAGCCATCTTAACCATCCTAGCCATCTTTCGCAAACCATAGATGACATTCACATGCACATGGGCGTCAATGCATGTTTGAGTATTGTCGCTTCCATATTTAGCCCATGCCGTTGTGGCGGTCATAAGTGCGCACAAAAAAAAAAAATTAGAGGAAGGGGGGGGGGGGGTACATGCTCATTGGTGCCATCAGAGACGATGGCGC